GATTAAAAAATGGTCAGAGTGACCGATGACACTGTTACAGTCTGATCCACAAGAGAAGATGGCCCTGATATGGCTTTACGTGTATCTTCAGAAGCATGTGTGGCCACTGCCTCCGTTGCAGGATCCACAGTGAGCGGGTAGATGTGGCAGCTGACCACATTTACGACGAAGCTGCATTTTGGGGCAAGTGTTGGAGGGCACGACGTCTGAGGTTCATCTGGTATGCTCCTGCATTTTTCCCTTTTTTGCCACAAAGTGAGTGATGACTTTAATGTTTGTCTTTATAAAATGAGTAGGAGTTATATTGGCTATACTGCTACTTGGCAGTCTTAATGGCACCATGCTTACAATTAATAAGGAAGAACTATCTTGCAGTGCAGCCATAGAATGAAACGGGGAATTTCGGTAGCAGTTACCAAAGAAAATGTTGGCAGTGGGTGCTGTCTTTGGGCTATTTTTGCCTAACCAGACTACTGCGAATAGATTTTTTAAATGGCTCGAGCATACTCAAAGCAATGGCAATATATTTTATTAAAAACAGTGCATTGCTTGGTAGGGCAGAAGGAAATAATGGCTCAAGGGTCTGGGAATGGGAGATGGAACCGTTTACGTCTAAGTCACTCCTTCACATCCAGCCAAGGTCAGCAGTAAACAAGAATCCTATCGTTACCAGCTGGTGGCCCACAGAACGAGAAATAAATTGATAGCCGGTTTCCATTAACGGAGGCAAATATCACAGAAAGAAAACCAGAAGTGGAACTAATTGACACCACTGTTGGCTCTACCTGGGAAGCTGAGGACAGAGCCGCGGTGGAAACCGGACCTCCGGCTCTCGGCGCAGCGGGTGGTCCTGGCGGAGCTCAGGTGGCAAAACACGAGCCACTCTTTGTGCTGTCACAGTGCCAAGGCATCCCATGTCCTGCAGGAGCCCAGCAGAGATGCTGAAACAAGCGACCTCCTCCCGGCAGGGCAAGGACATCTCCTCTGCCCTGGCCTGCCCAAGCAATTGCATGCATCCCAACAACACCTGTGCCTGACCGACCTTCAAGGCTATTTGCACAAGCAGTGTCCTCTTCGCTCGCCTTCCTTTAATTACACGTCCACTTGAAGTAATAAAATTGTGAAGTGTAATGCGTGAGCCTGGACTGAGCTGGCAGCTGATGTTTATTATTATTTTACTTGTTTGCTTCTTCTGGATTTTCTGGTGTAATTAATTTATCTAGCCATAATATTTTAGAAACACAATCAAATGTCATTTTAATTTGAAGCCAAAAAATACAGACTCGTACTATATGAAAGCTCAAAAAATGATGACTTTTTTTAAACACCACAAGGAGAATGTCAATTTAGCATAATTGCATTAAAGAACAATCCCCTGAGAGAGAAAAAAAAAAAAAAAAGAAAGAAAAAGAGAGAGAGAGCAAGAAAGGATTTGCCAAAAATAAAAAGACTGCATGGGTCAGTGGTCTCTTGATTACAATGTACACATTACAATATGCGTGTGTATATATAAGCACATACATGCTTGTACCTAATCGTATATAAACCAGCATGCTTTAACACTTAGCTCCAAATTTATACTTTACAAAATGATCCTTTCATAGGTATTAAGAGAGCATGAGCTCCAGAACTACAAAAGGAAGTGTGCTGGTTTGTTTTTACTTTTCTCATATGACAGGCCAAATATTGCCTTTCTTGACATTAATATCTGGAAATTTGTTACACAAGTAAGGTAGGGGGAAAAAATTAATAAATGGGACTCATTAAAGGTATTGCCAGAAAAAACTTACTAGATTTGGCCAGGACATTGATTTAATCAACATTTTTTCTTATTGAAAGCAAATGTTCAAGTGCAGTGAATTTGAACCGGCTAACTGGGGAGTTTCAAAAAGCAGAAAATAAATCCGTATAAATCTGCATATATATACCAAATCTTAAATGGAAGATAGCTCCGTCTGCATATCCTGGAGAAGATCCTGGGGAAAATAGAAATAAGTTTTTTTTTTTTTTTAAAAAAAAAGCAGAATTAAACTTTGATGTCTGCAAAAAGATGCTCTTTGAAAAATGAAACTCCCCACTTCTTTTTTGGGGGCTTTTTTATGGAATTCTGGCTATGCTGCATGGATAAAGCTCTTGTGAAATGCTTTTCTCTCTCCTCAACATATCTGGTTTTATGCAAGGCTTCCTTCCAAGAGCTAGAGATGTATGCTGAGCATCAGTCTATATGGGAACACAGAAAGCTTCCAAAAGATGTTTTGCTGAGAGGGGACAGCTGTGCCTGCCCTTTCTCCTCTGAGAACTGTGTTTGGAGCTCCTGGTGTTTCCAGATCCCTCAGATACCACCTGGAGCATGCAAGTACCTTTATGCACCTAAATATGGCCTTATAGGTCCGGAGAGATCTAGAATGCCATCATCGGCTGGGTGCAGATGCCACCCCTGTCTGTGCCTGCAGGAGGGGCCTCTCCTGGCTTTCTCCAGAAGTGTTGGGAGACAGGACCAGTCAACACCATCTTTCATTTGCACATCAGTGCAGGAACAAACAGCAGCATGTAAGATAAGGCAAGCATTCTTGTTCCAGTTCATTTCCTTGCCCTAATATATTCAGCAGCATTTACTCTTCATGCCATGTGACGAGTGGCACAACCACGGGCTGAAGCAGATGAAAACACTAAGCAGAAGCTCTGGGAAATGCCACATCTACAAGTAACCCACCACAAGGCAGCTGTGCAAAGCTAAATATTTTCCTTACCTCTCCGTGAGTGCAATCTGCACCTTGAGTCAGCTATGCCACAGACAAAGATTTTGTTTTAAGTACAGGAGTCTTAAAAATAGCCTTCACCTCCTGAACCTTTTTCTACAAATGTTCCTCCACTTAGCCACAAGCTGAAGCTAATTTTCACACAACATCTGCTGTAATCAAAACCATCTGTGTGGCTACACGTTTAGGACAGAGAATTTATGGCCCATGTTCTTCCCATCCGACACCGGGAAGCTTTTGTGTGCATTGTCTATACGTCTGCATTAGCTATATGGCTTTGGGTCCAGACACCCACCCTGTTTCTTTTTCAAACCCCCTTTTTTTTTTTTTTTTTTTTTTTTTTAATCAGCAAATCAGCAAGGCATGCTCATTACTGAGATGCTAAGAAAGGAGCAAGTGATGCCAAGCCAGCTCTAGCAGAGATGCAGACTACTGTGCACAATTAGTTGTTAGGCATTGAAGAGGCCCATTGCAGCTTTTTGATCATCTGATGTGCTTTGAAAAGGTTCCTCAGCTCAGACCAGCTTTCCCTCACTATAGGTAATTAGGAAAGAAAAATAAACGAACGCAGGGCTCCTCTGGCTGCAGAGGAGTACTGTGCTCAACATAACCCCCTCGGCTGTACAAAGCCAGAGGGAGTTGCTAACAGCACTGACAGTTCAGGGAAGTGATTTATGAAGCTTTTCTTTTGTGAAAAGTTGGCATCTAGACAAACTATACCCCTGCTGCTGCCTGCGTACACCTCTGGCAAGTATAAAATGTGAAAGTATTCTGTAAACAGACCATTATGCCCAGCAACTTCTCTTAAAAAACATGATTAGAAACCAAAACAGCTTGATCTGCATTCGTTTGGTATTTGTATAGGGGATTATGATATGGCAGCAGAAGAGCAAGAGACATCTTACCACCTGGTAACACAGAAGATAAGTAACCATTTGTTTACTTAGATAAAAACCTGTTTTTTTCCACTGCTGAACATGTATTACCAAGCTGTTTTGCCAAGCTACTCCGTTTTACACATTTTTTTTCACAGTGTATTACTTATGTGCAGTTTCTTTGCTCATCTGGATGCAGCAGTGACCAACCTCAGTCCATGGAGCCCATGCCCTCAGGCGGATCACCTTCACTCCAGGGTGATCTCTGGCTCAGAAACCAGTCTGCAGAGGCTGCTTGTCCAGCCCTCACCCAGCTGCATCCTCTGAAAGGTGATGTGGCTCTCTTTCTCCCTATCCATCTCTCTGTTGACCACAGAGAGAGCCTAGAGAGTTGGCTGTTGGAAATACTCTCTTCAATTTCAGTGTACTCTGCTCCTGCTACAGCTGTTTGTGAGTTTAACTCCAGTTAACTCGAGGGAGCAGCAGCTGTTGGTTTTTATGTGCATTTGTGGGCACAGACCAAGTGCCCAGATGATTTTGGGTACGTGGGGAAGAGAAAGTCCTAGCACATGCAGCCACACCGAGCAGTGCCTCACAGGACCAAGCACAGATAAAGGACACCACACTGTCATCACAGGAACATCACATTGGGTCACAGAAAAATTGTCTTAAGCTTATGTGGTAACTTTCAATCACCATTTTTATTCAGTAACACAGAACAACACAAAAATTCCTGTAGTGTTGGTGATCTGATCATTACACTGTATTTGTGACACTTCAAAGAGACAGTAAGCTATTTTTAAGTAAGAAATTGCTGGGAAGTTTAGTTTAAAACAACACAAAATGAAAAGAAAAGAGAAAAAAAAATAAACACAACACCACCAATATTATATTTCTATATTTGATAGAAGGGATACAGTTTTCCTTCATGGTCAAAAATAACATAGTAATAAGGAGTTCTGCATTATCAGAAACCTATTTTCATGTGAGAACAACCACAGAGGCAGATGAGGAGTGCCATGTTCACCACTAAGCTGTGTCAAGGTTGCTCATGATTTGGATGAAAAGCAGTTACGAGAGTTTAAGGCAGCTTAAGAATAGACTAATGTGTTTAACCTACAGATAACTCAATCAAAGCTTCCCAGATCCTGCTGTAATTGTACAACATGGTTAATCCAGTGCAAGAGACGTCATCTCTGCAGCCTCCTCAGAGGTGTTCCTGTAATCACTTGAGCTGTTTTCATTAGGGTAAATGGATTGCACCATTACAATCAGGAATGAATCTACACCTGTTTATGGTCACATGAGTTGAATTCCCTGTGGTAAAACTAATTAAAAAAAAAAAAAAAAAAAAAAGATAACAGTGATTTTGAAGATTCATTAGCATCAAATCCCTCCAACCCTTAAAGCAAATGATGTAACACAGCCTTTAAAATATGGGGGAAATAATTCCTCAGCACAAAGGGGAACTGTAAAGAAATACTCTAAAGAAATCTCTGGAGATTTATCTGAGGAGAGCATTGAGAATTTTTTCCTCTTCCATCACAACGTTTTACTTTCACCAAAATCAGATATGGAGATATGGAGACATGCTCAGCTGGAGAGCTGCAGGAAAAGAAAAATGAGGAATCAAGGTGTGTGTTTTGGATGACATCCACCGTGGGGTACTGTAGTTTCAGTGTGCTGGTTTTGTCAGCTTTGCACCTGTCCTACCTGGGAGGCTGTGCAGACTTGCCTGATCCACACAGGCAAGTTTATTCAGGGCTTAGGAGGTCGCCTCCCTGCCAAAAATCTGGAAAGTTTTTATAATCTACCTATGCCATCACATCAGCTAAATAAACTCTCCTTGCTCTTTCTGGAGTGGTGACTGCATTTATTTGATCTCTTTGGCACCACAGATTAAATACAAAAGTGTGCATTAAAGGAGAAAAATTTTGTTCGGCTATATTTTAGGTGAGATGGTGCAGGGTGAGAGAGAGAGAAAGAAGAAAGTCAAATAAGCAAGGTGTTACATTAGAAAAAGTAGCCTTTTCCTTGGCACAAAGTAATTGGAAGTAGAGCCAGGAAATTATGATTCTAATATGTACTCTGTCATCTGATTCCCTGTGTGGTCTTGGGCAAGTCCTTTAACCTGCTTGTCTAATTTCTTCAACCTGTAAAATGGGGACAACCAACCACAAAGGAGTTTGATGAGTACTAGCAGATGTTTTCACAGCACACTGAAAAACACGTGAGAATCCATGGATGTGCTATTATTACTATTGCACATATATATGTGTGTGTGTGTGCGTGTGCTATTATCGTTATTATACTTCCCAGGAGTACACCTGATTGAAATGAATTTGAAATGAAATTTTCATATATAAAATACAAACAACAATTTTTCCACAGTCTACAATTTTATTTTATTTATTTTTGAGTTACAAAAATATCTTTACAAAGAATTTGTGCTCTGAAGCTCTCATAGAAATAGTTTGTTGAAATATTTTATCATTAGAAATCTGCTGTTTTGACTGGACCCCCAGGATATGTGGTATGTTTCTGTCTCTTTACTACCTGAGTATGACTTTAAGGATTAAGTTGTTGGAGAAAATTACCAGAAAATTCAAAATTTGTTTAAAGTTTGCTCATTCAGGATCCTGAGTGGATCTCTTTAAGGTAGACACTACAGGAAGCTGTGTTATGTCTTTTGGCGTTTCTCTTTTCCTTCTGCCAGGTTTGACAAGAAAAGCTACTCCTCAAAGGCCTCACAGAAAAGAAGCACAGGAAGACTGTGCACATGGACATGTACTATATGAAAAATTGAAACAGGGATTCAGCAGGAACATGTCTTTAGAACCTCCTAGCTTTGCTACTTCAATGTTTAAGTAGCTTTTACTCCACTGAGATGACACGCAACAGAAAGCATAAATAAAGCAGTCTGATAACTTGATGTCTATGAAGTATCATCCTCTGCTCAGTACTTTACTGCTGGTCTGATTTGCAAAGATGCTGACAGTTTTGCAGTCTTCACAGAAATCCACAGGAGCTGAAAGACACCGAGCAGGGATAAAAAGCACCCTTGACTAGGTACCTCCATCTAATAGGGAAACCTAACTCATTATGGCTCTGTTTGAAATTTCTGCTTTAAATTTGCTTTCAATCATCTGCGATGCTAATTCTAGCTTTAGTACAAATGAACAGACTCAGGGCTTTCTTACAGGCTTGAGACACACTGCAAAGCTCATTTCCAGCAGCCGAGGAAGGGGTTAGGGCTCCTTGCAGTGTGGATGTCAGGGTGTGGCAGTACAAACTCAGGCTAACAGAGCCGATTCCATTCAAACTTCAAGTATTTGCCATCCCCTGGAACAAGTGTTGTTTTGGACATGTTGCACAAGATGCTAGAAGAAAACTGGGATTTCGCTGCCATTCTCAAACAAAGAACATATTCATTAGGAAAACCATCTCCTCCGAAGCACTAACCCTGGGTTATGTTTCCTACAGACAGCAAGGGTTTCAAATCGTATCATGTGTTACTCATTTACGTATCACGTTAACTAGTGAAGACAGCAGAAGGCTAATATTACTTCCTACCAACTCGGGATCTCTCTGCAGCATATTAGTCACTTCTTTGCTCAGAGGACTTGAGCTGTGCTGTATGGTTGTAGTTAAGAAGTCACCAGATGGTAAAGAGTCAGCACTCTAGCTTTGGGTGTAAACCCAAACCCCACTCATTTCCTAAGCAATTGTGTATTTGAGAAAGGCACTTGCCTTGTACTCATGTGAATCCATCAGTCAAGACATTCCTGCTGTGGCCTTGTGCTGCTTGCCATACACAGGGATGGGCCAGAGGTGGACAGAGTTCGCAGTGAGATAACCCCATACACACACACCCCCCAGAACTGTGCACAACCCGCAGGTAAATGCATTTCTGCACTGACCTTGCTAATGATGCCATGGCTGTATGCCTCAGCCCACAGGTTGCTTGCTGCAGCTGGATGATCCCTCCTGAGCAAGAAAGGGCCTAACTTTGACTGAATGCTGACCCCATGGCCAGTAAAGGAATTTCACTGTCATTTAATAACAGGGGAGCTGCTCAAAGGTCCCTCTGTCCTGTCCTGTGCCATTGCAACTTAGCATGTGGGAAACAAAGCACTGCTCCAGAGAGCTAGGCCCAGTCACCGCAGAAACCAGTAACGAAGTTAAGGAGGGAGGCCTTACAAGGGGGCCCACTGTTTCCTTTTCCTTCGAGGTCTCTGGGAAGAATTTCACTTATTTTCCTGATGGAAGAGAATTGTCACAAGTACTGGTTTGATCTCTCACGTGGCACAGTGTTGGTTTCATTTAAACCACTTAGCAGCCCTGCTTAGGACATCTGTGTAACCAGCACTCCAGTGGTGCTCCCAGATCTCCACAGTTCCCATCCTGCTGTGCCAACAAACTGAATGGCCTCTCAGATCCAAAAGCTGTGTGTTCACAATGCCTGAAAAACAAGTAATTTCTGTAGCTTGCCAAGTAAACTAGGTTCAAGACCATTGTATTCTAGCAGTGGTTGTAGGGTATACGTCAATGGCTTTTGTTTAATGCAGCTTACTTGGACCATCATGTGGGTGATGGATGCATCAGGAAGTAAGTTTGAGACAGCTGAAGCAGATCCCTGCCTTGGAAGCATTAAGATACATGATTAGTCCTGTTTGTTAGAGTTTATGTGTTTCCTTAGGCAGGTAAAATTTTATTATTTTTTTTCAGGATCTTATGCTAAACCACTACAGAGGGTGAGTTGGTGACTTTACCTGGAGCTCCACATCACAAGACAGGTGGTGTAGCCACCTGAGTTAGCAAGGACTGACACAGGTGGGCACCCTGGCAAAGTTCTTCAGGGAACTTTACACAAGCTGTGCCTAAATTATACCTGAGTTAAGACCACTGTTATTAGCCTCTTATTTTGTCAGGCAAATTATTTCTTTGAAAAGTGCTTTTTCTTATAATAAGATATCAGAGGTCTTTTTTTTTTCATCAGTAATCACTTTTTTGTGTTGGGATTTTAAATTAAAACCTTTTGCCTTGTAATTTTTCCACTTAGCAAGTGGATTATTGCCACTTAAAACAATGAGAACAAGCATTATCCCTTGTGTTACAGAATGGCTGGAAGAAAGCGAAAAAAAAAAAAAAAAAAAGCAATAGAAGTATGCCATCTTTTGTTTACACATGTGTGCACATCAATGGTTTTCTGGTGTAGGCACATGAGAGGCGTAGGGCTAGGAAGAAAGCACCAGCATGATTGATTGCGTTTTTCTGTTCATGGTCATCTGTCTGTGTGACATACACACAGCAGTACATATGGTTATCATAGCACTCCTGACTCAGTGTATTTCACACATATCCATACTAAAATCAAAGCTATGGTTCCTTGTACTTGTTTATTTTGCTGGCATAATATATAGGGAAAGGTGACCCAAAGAAAACATAATGAATAATTCAAGAGAATTCCATTTTCACTCAAAACTCTGCGAAAACCAGACAAACTTTTCTGAAGCATAGAAGAGACGGGAGAACACTGTGGCCACCCGACCTTTTTCCCATGGATGCTGTCTTCTCCATCATCAATCCTTTAACTTCATACCTATTTTTGGAAACTGTTCTCACACTAAATTTCCAAAAGTTGTTTAAACTGGGCTAGAATGAATGAAAACTGAATTAGATCCAACATCTTGACTTTTATACTGGTGATATATTTTGAGAAAGGACTATTTAAACCTTTTGTCTTGCAGAGAATGAAGCGCATTGCCGCTGCGACACAACCTGCCCATGAATAACAACTGTCTTCCAAAGCTGCTTTGTTTCTTGCCTCCAGCATTTTTTTTTTTCAGGTTTATATATCTTTTCCCAGGACTGCATAAAGTATTGAAATCACTGTGAGGGATGGTTTTTTGATAACATTTCTGTTCCTATACAGGGAGGAAAAAAAAAAAAAAAAAGTGGGAAAGAAATTGAGTAAGATTAATCTGGGAATTTTACTGCTTAGTTTTCAGCTTTACACATGGAGTTCTTATAATTTCCTGAACTACAACCAAACAAGATTTCTCTTGAATCAGGACTTTCAGATTTCTTGAAACTGGCCTTGTTCTGATACAGGAGCACTCAAACACATATATATTTCTGCTACTGATCTTATATCAGCTCATAGACATGTCATTTACAGAGATCCTCAGTTTCCCAGTGGATTTCATTCAGACTCTGGATAACCTGGCACTCCAACAGCGTTACGTTACCCTAGATATTAGAATCTGCTCACTGTCTTCAAAATAGACCTGTCTTTGTTTCTAGTTTTGTGGTTCATTTATCAGAGAATAGATGGAAGATTTTATGCTCAAGGATCAGTGTGTCCAAAGATGTCTATTTTGCCCAAATACACATGAAAAAGGAATTGTTCATATCTCCTTTTACATTTTATTTATTTATAATTTAGTTTAAATTCATTTAAAATTAATTTAATTAGAATAATTTAATTTTATTTTTCTATTTATTACTTTTTTAAAAAGCTCACTCAAAACTGCTATCAAGAAGTGTGCTAGACCAAAACATGTCTCTTGTTTCATATGCAGTATGAAGAATAATAACTATTTTAGGAATAAAACTGATACTTGAACAGAATTCTGTTATACAATACTCCCCTATTGGGGAAAGAAAATAGGGCATAACCACAGCCTGGCCACTTACTTTTTCCATTTCTAGTCTCTGTCTGTGTTAGAAACTTAGACAACATTTTGCAGAGAGAACAAAGTGCCAGAGAAGGGAGTAAGAAGAATTTGATGGCTATCTGTCTTTCCAGCTGTGTGTTTTCTTGTCCGGTAGTCTCCAGCCATTTGTCTCAGTTCTGTCTGGGAGTTTGGTGTCTGTCACTCTGCACAAATATTGCTGCTTTGGGTGCGTGTTCTTAGGTGCAACTCCAATTGCACAGGATGCTCAGTATGATAATAGTGATCTCTCCCACCTCTTTTTCAACGTAGTCAGGCCAGAATCTTACCAGAGGCATTTTGGGATGGTTATAAGCTTCATATACCTACCTTCACTGCACATGTGTCCCAATCAGGAGCACCAGCAGCATTACCTCTCCCAAACTGCACAAGCTCTTTGGTTTTCTCTAAAAAAGAGACAACAGATTATTTTCCTCAGAAAACGTGGCTTGAATTCCCAGCCTGCCTTATCCAGATACATATGTACATTTTTTTTCTGTGCTGAAACAACGAATCACTGGGAGAAGGAAGAAGAACCAGGAGCTTTCACCGAGGGGCTGGGAGAGGAGTCTGTACAGAGCCGTCCCTACTTCCCAATGGCAGCTTGAAGCTTTGCTGGCATGTGAAAATGGTAAGGAGAGCAATCCAAGCTATGTCTCCTGCTCAGAGTGGATCAACACAAAAATGAGCCCTCCGGCTTCCAGGGAAGGAAGAACGAAGGGAGCACTGAACCACCTCCCTAACAGGTTGCTGATTTCTGGGGGAAAGCTGGTGTAAAAGCAGAGCTTGTGGTGGAGAGCAGGGCCAGTCCTGCAGCCCTTCCTCCCATTCTTAGACCTCGTTTTTGTCCATGTCCTTTTTTTGTTCCCCTTCCATAATGACTATAGTGGACATGTTTGCTGGCAAGGGCGTTTGCTAAAGCTGCAAGCTGGGAGGGGACGTTGCAGGCTGTTTGAGGAGAGCACAGGGTTTGTTCCCCAAGGCCACAGAATATGCCACGTGGCTGATCACAGCCAAGCAGGTTTGACCAGCAGGCTCTTAGCAAGCTGTTCACCAGCTTTCCGCAGACCACAAACTGCTTGCAGACAGTGAGCGGGGGTGGATTGTCAGTTGGTAATATGAAGCGCACGCATTTTTTGGAAATGCCAAATGAAAGCACTTGTTTTCCTTCAAAACGCAGTTCTGCACTGGGTGCACCTTCTGCTAAGATGTACGGCTGCAAAGACCCTTCCTCCTCCTTGTGATCGCAGGAGGGTTAGAAACCACTGTTTTGCTTGCATTAAAGCCTCATCTGCTTCCTCAGGGAGTGAAGGAAATTCGACTTGGGAAGCTCACAAGGAAAGAAGGGAAAGAAAGGAAAGTGCTAGATAAAGCCTTCCACTCAGATGGTTCTCCCAGCCCCAGCCATAACCTTCTCCCACGCAGAATTTACTGCTGTAACCGAAATATCACTGGTGAAGCTGTGGGTATGGTGTGTGAGAGAAAAGCTAGCCCTGTCCTGCAAAGAGGAGGGTGAGCCCGTGGCCCTGCGGTGGGGCCTGTATCATGTCTGTGGCACACACAAGGCCTGCTTTGAGGCCTCTCTTTCAAGACGGTCTGATAGGAAAAAGGTCCCAGAGAACCTGTCTTACACCAACCAAGTAAAACACCCATAATTAAATTAAGGCACTTTTTGTTTTTATATCAGTACAATTTATAATGATACCAGTTTGACAGTTTCTAGGCACGGATATAAGCTTCATATTTTTCCTGGATATAGCACATTGTTTTCTCAGCCAAAAAACCACGCTAGGGAGACCCTTGGGCACTGAGCAATGCTCCAGGCCATCTTCCTTGGTAATGGGAAGGGGTGGTAT